TAAATCAAAATCAGCAGGAACAATCAGATAAAGCTTTGAGATGAACCATCTAAAGAATCTGAATCTGCATAAATGGAAAGCAACCAACATCTCATAATAAAGGGATTCTTTAGAAGAAGATGATGAGTTGAAGCCAAAATACAAAGAAGATGATAACATCAAACAGAGCTCGGTTACAAAGATCTCATTGGCAATTTACCAGAAATTTGGCTACCAAATGATAATCATTCAATCATAAAAGATCTCTGTCCTTACCAATAACCATTGGATTGATAAGATAAAAAAGTTGAGCCATAAAAAGATCTCTATTTGATATCATCAAACAACAAATCCCATTTCTCACTAACAAACATCAAATAAACATCAAAAGAGCAGCCAGAAGAATCTGAAAGTCGGCTGAGCAAAATGAAAAGTAAGGAGAACATCATAGCCCAAAAATCAAACTCACTAAAACTCGAATCTCAATTTGAGAAAAAGAAGGCTTTATCTTGTTATCTGCATTCTTGTCAATCCCCAGACATCAAAATTCTAAGATTCCTTTCAAAACTACTAGAAATGGTTGCATTCATACTGAAAAAAATCAACCAACATACTCTGCATCCATAACCAATCATGAAGGATTGTCAACCAGTCGTCACCAATAATATAATCGAACTTTTAGTAAAAACAACAAAAATGTAGTCAAATTTTCTTGAATTCGATTGCGCAGAATGACAAGTAAGAAGAGCATCATAATTCAAAAACAAAATCAACAAAATTTGAATCTCAAATTTGAGAAAAAGAAGCTTTATCTTCAAATACCAGCTTTAGATATATTCAAATGAACAAAAAAAATCATAATTTTAATCAATCAACTTAAAAAAATTAACCAAAATATTCCTTTCAACCCAGAAACTTCCACTTATGAAATATCCATGGTAACCATCAAAATTCATATATCAATCAATGAAAAAAGAGAAAAGATTGAAAATTGATCGATAATTATATAACTCTTTTATGATGAGAGGAAGATCCTCCTTAAATTTTCATTTATTTTGCTTTATTTTAGTGGCCCCATGAATATTCGGAATGAGTAAATTAATAGAAGAGATAGAACTTCCAAAATTCTAGAATTTCTCTCTCTAAATAAACTGAATAGTAATATGAACAACCAACAAGAAATATCTCTTGATGATTTAAGAAAGATAGAATGTTAGCATAGTTGATAATTTGATGAAAAATTATTGCTCATAAGAAATAAATTGCACTAGGAATATATTTTTTCAAAATAGAATGGGCATAGTGGCATTCAAAGAAAAGTTACTTATGAGTATCATTTCCAAAAAAACTAAACACACAGTCTTTGTTAACTAAAACAACTTTAGAAATCAAAATATCACTTATTTTAATTCCTCGTAGCATAATTTTTCAAGCAAAAGAAGGAAATTTCGAGTACTTTTTAAACCAAATAAACTTGCTCCAATAAGCAACATGATAATTATCATAAGAAAAATTGTAAGAGAGCTTGTGAGAATAATTATTAGAACCTTTGCAAAAGTATGAGATAAAACCAGATTTAACGGTAATATTACTAATAGAGCTTAAAATTTATTATGAAATTCTATTAGGATCGTAAAAATATCAAGAATCATTTAGTATTTATATCTCTAATTTTGATAGTAGGAGAGTAATCAAACTATTGAAAAATCAAATGCCCAAAATTTTCATGTAAAGGGTATCTATAAAGCCATGGATCAAAGAAAAAAATATGATACTATTATTGTTGATCTGAAAACATGTAGCATTTCTAATTCTAATTGTCGTTTTAGACAAGTTTTTCTATTAAATTAAATCTTGTTATTTTTCCTAAATCAGAGAGAATTGTAGATTGTAGTGCTCGAAACACCAAGAAGTCACAAGAGAACAAGAATAATAATGCCTCCAAATAATTTTGGATTTGCACATGACATTTATGTTATCCAGATTAGGTAGCTCCAAACCACCAAACTATTTTGGCTTATGTGAAACTTATTAGAATAAGCACCATTATAAAGGAAATTGTTGCATAAAAAGCTAGTCCTTTTTCTAAGATCTTTGAGAGTAACAATTGATCTAAACCAATATTGTAAATATCTCCAAACTTTGGTCTTAAGTAATTATAATATACCAACAAAAGAGAAAAATTTGAGTTTCCAACTGGATAACTTGTGCAAAATTCTATCTAAAAGCTTTTAACAATCAACAAACACCAATTTGCAATACTTAATATTAACCCTTAAGTAATTGGAGGGAGAGCCTTAAGAGCAAACCGACTAATATCACAAATCTACCATTGAATAATAGAATCATTAGATTTGACAAAGTATAAAGCATATTTAGAAACATTTACACTCAAATTAGAGGCCCTATAGAATTTTTTTTTTAACTGAATGTAAATATTTAAATTAGAATTAATATTGACTTTATCAAAAAATAAACAAAATCATATATATATATATATATATATATATATATAAGGTGAAAACCCTTATTTGTATTCACATTAGTATTATTACAATTCAACTGAGAAATCTAATCATCTATAGGTAAGAAAAAAGTATTCATCATTATGAAAAACAAATAAGAACAAAGAGGATATCCTTATCTTGAACAAGAAGAACAGTTGAAAAACCCTCTCAACTCACTGTTTATAATAACAAAAAACGAACATCATAAATGCAAGTTTTAATCCATTGAATGAAGAGCAGGAAATCCAAGTTCATCAATCGGTCTATGTTAATTTTCGATTAACATTGTCAAAAGGTTTCTTTATATCAATTTTAGCACAAAAGTTTTACTAGAGGAAGAATAATTAAAAACATGGAGAAGTTCATTTGCCAAAATGATACTATCTGCAATATCATGCCTTTTTATAAACACAAATTGAGCAGGATGTATAATGAAGGACAATATAAGTCTTAGATAATTTGCAATAAGCTTTGAAATAACTTTATGTATAGTGTTATAAAAAGATTGGGTTTATAATCATTAATAGCTGAAACATTAGTATGCTTAGATATAGGAGTGATAGACGTGTGATTAACTATTGTAAGGAGCTTGGAGGGAAGAAAATAGTATTTCCCAGCTTCAATGCAATTAGAACCTGTGATGTTCCAGGCATCCTTAAAAAATTTAGCTATAAAACTATCAGGGTCAAAATTTTATTAAACACTATGGAGAAAAAACTTGCTTGATCTCAGTATCTAAAAATTCCTTAATAAGATCAACAAAATCAAGTTCATTTAAGGTACACTTAGCAGAAAATCCATAATCACAACTGCAAGTAGAATTATTAGGAAAGTCAAAGTAGAGAAAATGGTTTCATTAACTTTTTCTTTCTCGTAGAAAATATGAGAATTGTCATTAAAAATTTCCTTAATAAAATTCTTGTTATTTCTAAACTTAATATTATGATATAAAAACTTTATATTATCTTCTTCTTTTAGTAAATTAACCATATTAGCCCTTTGTTTAAGCCATTTGTACTCATAATTTAAAGCAGTATATAACAGAGATTTTATGGAGGAATAACATGCATTAAGATCATTATCCAAAGGATTAGTCTCAAGAAGAGACATAATTTTACTTTGGAAATCTTTGATCTTAAGCATAATTTTAGTAAAATGGTTAGCAAAACACTAATTCCATCTTTTGAATGCAAGCTTGACTGCTTTCAATTTATTATAGAGAACAAATAAGTGGACTTCTTTAACTATCTCGTCCATGTAGTTTCAACTAAAGAATAAAATTAAGAATTTTTTTCCAATAATTAATGTACAGAAGTCTACAAGAGAGCTTTTAATTAGCACTAAAATGACTTGTAATAGGCGAGTGATCTGAAATAAGAGGCACTAAAACTTTAAACAAAGAAGTTTACAGCCATCTGATGAATATTGCATAAAGCTCTGAGACATCTAATAAGGTAATCTATATGTTGATTAAACCAACTATAAATACGAATTATATTAGGAAGATCAAAATTCAAAAATGCTAGAAGAACAGATACAATTATTAAAGTTAGAGGATAGAAGGAATACCACCAAGCTTCCTAATATAATTAAAATCTTGCATAATAATCCTTGACCGATGAATTCTATCAGAAAACATAGTAATAAATTGATATAATTCTCCTCTTTTAATAGGGCAATTTTCAACACAATAAAAGTAAATAAGAAATTGATGGAAGAGGAGATATTTAACCTTGCCACCAATGTATTGAGCTTGAATTCCCAACGAAGTAAGATAAATAGAAGACAAATTCTATTTAAACCAAAACGTCCTCTTTCAGCCATAAGAAAATTATCAATGTTCATCTCATTGGTAAATACTTTTAGCTAATTACTCAAAAAAGGATCAGTCAGAGAAGAGAGAGAAAACACGGTTTTAAGAAGGCAAATGAGGTCGAGGTTTTTTATCTTTAGCAAAATCTCTACAGTTAGTGATTCATAAATCACTATGAAGTCCACACACTCTTTGGAAAAAAGCATGATAAACATAAATAAAATAAGAAGAATTTCCCTTAGTCCCGCTTTTCTTACTGCATGCTTATTTATAGCTTTGCTAACAGGAGATTTGTGGCCTGTACTTGATTAAAGAGACAATAATTCTGATTAGATTTCTCATCTACATTCTCTATATAAAAGGAATCATTCAAAGCTTCTGAGTTACCAAACAAAATCTAAACATTAATGTTAAGATCAGTGGGAGGTAGAGAGGGAAAAGAGTGAGAGAGAGCGGGTCGTTCGTGACCATAGTCATTGAAGGATCCTTGGAAACCATCATAATTGGAGGTGAAATAGAAAGCAAACTAGAACTTTTGTTAGGTCTAACAATTTTTTTTTTCTATTAAAATTCCTACTACGCAGAGGCACCATTCAAGGAGGTTTATAAGTTATAATCAATGTAAGAAGAAGTGTAATAAGCAAAGAAAGAACCATATTTACAAGCTAACAATTTCCACCAATAAACAGTTCTAGTGATATTTTTTCCCTTAACATTATTGATAATAGAATCTGGAACTGAATCAACATTTATCTAATATTAACTCTAGCAAAGGCAAGACGAGGACCCTTAGCAGCAAGGGGATCCACCAACCATTACGGGAATACAGACCTTACTAGCAATCATGGAGAACTAGCAATCATGGAGACATTCTTTTCCGACCAACAATATAAAGGGATATTTGGAAACTTAACCCAAATGGTCACCTCTTGGAAATATATATTCCTTTACAGGCTAGAAATCATATGTCCAAAACCTAAAAAAAGATGAATTTTCCATTAATGAACCAATGTCCACCCGAAAGAATCACTTCTTTAATCCTCCATACAATTAAATTTGAACAAAAAAAAACCTCATTTAAAGAGATAAGATGGACGCTTTTTGGATAACTTGAAGAAGATTATCATAAAATGATCGTTTGCCTAACACATATCCAACAAGCGCAGGCTGCCACTATTTGGAATAACTTCTTGGAATAACTTAAAGAGACTTTCTCCTTACCACAAGAAATAAAAGAATGGTTAAAGTTCATAGGGTTAAGCAAGTGGGAAGATATAAGACATTTCCAATTTAAAGAAAGCCCAAGACCAAGAATAGAAGAAGATTTAGCAAATGGAAGAGAAGGGAATGAAAGAGCTTTCATAATACACAAAAATTGGAGGCTTCTAAACATAGCAAGAAGCAAAAGAATGGGATCAAAAGGATAAAAAAAAGACTAAGCTTTTAGGGAATAAACAAAGAGGAACACAAAAACCCTTACATCCTATTAAATTCATTTGAAAATTGCACCACAAGTCTTTCAAAACCACTAGCCGTTATAAAAATCCCTCCACGGATTAGTGCGCCCTTATTTGTGGACCTCTACGCAGCATTCCATTATCCCACACAAGGTAACTTTCGTTTTCATGGCGCATTTTACATTCTTTTCTTTTCCTGGAATTATTAATTGCCTGGTAGGCCGGATTCGATCTTCGCACCCAATATTCTCAAACCCGATTGCTCAAATTTTCTTACCTCCCAACGGAATCCCTTTTGATTTCATGATCCCTGCAACCTAACCCGCACTCTCCACGGCGGCGACAGAGGGCAAAGAGAGCGCCGGCGATGGGTAACATGGCAAGCGGCAGCGGCGGCAGCGGCGGCGGAGGAAATGGTCGCCGGAGAAACCAGAGCCGTAACCCTAACACCTCTTCCATCCTCCCACCACCTCAGCAGCCGCTCGAGGTCCCGCCCAGTAATCGTTATATTTTTGCTGCGACTATTCCGTACGCTCAATATCCGAACCCTGGCCCTCCACAGTACTACCATTACGTTGGTTATTACCCTCCACCTCCAACGCCGTACGCCCATTCTGTTGTCCAGCTGCCGGCGCCATTGGACCATCACCACCGAGGCGGTGGCGATCAAGCCGGTTATCAACAGGGATGGAGGAATCGCTACAGTTCGGTGCCGTCACCGCGGGCTCCTGTGGTGGAGCACCAGAAAGCGGTGACGATAAGGAATGATGTTAATCTCAAGAAGGAGACGCTGGTGATTGAGGAAGATGAAGAAAATCCTGGCAGGTATCTTGTGGCCTTCAGGTTTGATGCTACTGCGGCGGGCAGGTAAAGGTTCTTCTTTTTTATTTGCATATTTGTTTTCTGGGAAAGGAAGGGGGTTATTTTGAATACCTCCCCAATAGCTTGAGAAGGTTATAAAAAATTCTTTTTTTATGCCTTTGTATTCTCAAATTGGCTGTAGTAGTTCGTCCTGAATAGGAGAAATTATTGCATAAGGATACCGCATGTATCTCTGCATGCGGTGTCTGATCCTGACCGTAGATCACGGTGATCTACGGTCAGGATCATTTCAGTTTTTTTTTTTAAAATTAGGTGGGGTCCACCGAAATACATTACGGTCAGGATTGGACACCGCACGCAAGATGCGATGCGTGCGATGTCGGATCCGTATGGAATAATTTTTCCCTGAATAGAGGCAAAATCAACTTTTTTTTTTTTTTAGCTTCCATAAATTTATTAGAAACCAAATAAAAATCTTATATTTTATTACCATCATTGAATTGAACATTGATTAAATTTTATTTTATTTTTATCTATTGTGTATTGTTTGATAATATTGCATAAAAAGTTTATTGAGAAACAGGTCAAATACTTCTTTCTAAGTAATCAGTATAAGACAGTCATTAAGTCATCATTTATTCGAGTACACAGTTATTGAAATACAAGAACGTGTTTCTAACTGATCATAAGATCCCCCGTAAGGCAAGAGATATTTTTTAATTTATTTGAGTTGATATCGTGCTTGAGGTCGAGATCCTCAAATGTATTTGATGAGATTATAAGCTTCTCTTTTGAGATTGACAACAACTTTATGGCTGAGATCCCAATGAGAAGAGTTGACATCATGCCTTAAGATCCCATTTCTTTTGAGTAGACATGTACTGTAATGTTGAAATCCTCAAATATTTGTTTAATAATTTTGCTCAAGTAAAATATAGGTGGTAAAACTTAAAAAACAAAGATTTTTCTCTTTTGTTAACTAAGATCTTGAAGGTTTAACTGAAATTATTTTGAGATCTAGAAGTTTTAATAATTTAAGTTGGAAAAATGTAAGTTCTACCACAATTCAAGTCTATGACTAAAGTGGGTTAAAAAAGGTCAAACTTAACATGCCCAAAAATGGCTAAGTCGCCGACAGCTCACTTTACTCAACAAGTCAAAAAAAGTTGTTAATAGTGAAGGAACAAGCTCTTCTTACTCAACAAAGCCATAAAATGGCTGCAGTAAGAGAGTCTCTATCTTATTAGTCTGATGATGAGAGTTGTCTAGTTCCCAAACTTATTTAGCTTGACGAGTTCAAGTGATCCAGCTCTAGAAGACTTTTTCAATAGATTGATGAATTAAAGTTAAATCCAAGAGATAATCTACACACAGAAAATGATTATGCAGTCAAGCTAAAACATTCTCAACTATATAAGTTCCAAGACTTTGTGATTTAAGAACTGAGATTCCCAAGTCTATAAGATTTAGTCTATCAAGTTGAAGAAGCATAAAATCTCTGTAGTCTAAGTCTAGGGCACAAGCAGGTCCTAAAAGTTGGACTTAACAAACTCAATTATGGCAGTCGCTGACAACTCTCTTCACTCAATAAGACAAAAATGGCTGTAGTGATGAAGCAATTGTTTTGCTAGTCTGATGATAAAGACTGTCAAGTTTTTAAGTTTAGTCAACTTGATAAGTTCAAGCAAACTAGATCAAAAAATTTTTCTTGAACAATCAAAAGATCAAGGAAAATCAAAGGATTGATCGTTGCTCAAGAAAGCATCTAGCTAAGCTTAATGGTTTGTTCAAATATTGAAGCCCAATCTTCATTCATAACAAGTCAGATCAAGTATAAGGCACAAACTAGCGGAATCCTCTTCTTCAATAAGTTTGACAATGTGAAAAGCAAATGACCGAAGCAGTTATCCCAAAAGATCATTCAAAGCTTGATGCTAAACTAAGGGAATTAAATCGTCGACAAATTTGATAGAGCACTAAGCACGTGACTGCCGATCTCTTGCCACTAATTTGATAAAAGTCTGAAGCCTAGGTCAATGACATGCATACTGCAACAAGTCTACCAAAGCACAAAGATAAGATCGAAGAGGCGTTCAATTACCTGACAAGTTCAGAGAGACGATTCATGTCACTTCCTTCAACAAGTCCACTATCGATTCCACGTTTTGTTTCCGAAGCCGCTCGATCGTCTCTGCACTAACCCGCGTCTCCTCTGTCGCGGCACTCGATGTTCTCTCCTTCGCTTCCGTGAGCCGTGCCGCTCGCCGCCATGAATATACTTGTCTTTATGTTTATGTACATGTATCCAAAACAAAAGTAAATATATTAATCTATATATACCATGCATACATCATTTTGTTTTCATCTCTAAAAGCAACTTGTAATTTTCAAAAAAACACATTTTTTTCAACATCTACACAAAATCTCTGCCTTCCATCTCCTGTTTTATCAACCAAATCCTCTGAAAATCTTCCTTTCACTCCATGAACAGCATTACAGTTCTCTTCTTCGCCCAAGAAGGTTTTGAATGCAAACTCACCCCGACAAAGGAGACCTTTCTTCCTCCAGTGACGGTTTCATTCAAAAATGGCCTTGGCCAGCAATTCAAACAGCCACCCGGAACCGGAATCGACATCTCCATGTTCAAGGAATTCGAACTGATTAAAGAAGGAGAAACAGAGATATACCCTCTGGCAATCAGAGCAGAAGCATCTCCAGTTGACCAAGAAGGATCTGCAGAGAACAACAATATGGTAGCTCCAAACTCTCAGATAACCCAAGCTGTGTTTGAGAAGAAGGAAAATGGCGAATACCGAGTCCGCGTGGTGAAGCAGATCTTGTGGCTGAATGGAACCAGATATGAGCTTCAGGAAATCTATGGTGTAGGGAATTTTGATGGGAATGATCCAGGAAAAGAATGTGTTGTTTGTCTTTCAGAACTTAGAGACACTGCTGTGCTCCCATGCAGGCATATGGTACTGTATATTATAATCATCTCTTCTTCCCAAAATTCTGAACCTTTATGGTGTAGGTGTTAGTATTTATGCTAGGCATTTTCCTTGACATTTGACTTGGTTTTGTTTCTCCATTACAGTGCTTGTGCCGTGAATGTGCAGAGGTTCTAAGGTACCGGACGAATAGATGTCCGGTGTGCAGGCAGCCCGTCGATCGCTTGTTGGAGATGAAGGTGAACAATGGAGGTGAAGATGATCTGTTGTCGCCTTGTTGTCAGGCAGGAAAGAAGAGAGGAGGAACAACTTCAGCAATGGCAGAACCGGAACTTCAGAATAGAGTGGCAAAGTAAGAAGATTAAGGGCAAAATTTTCAGTATATTATATGATATTAATGAGTTTATAATGATGAAAGGTTAGTTCCACTGATAAAATCTGATTAAGTTATGTCTAGTTAGTATAATCAAAAGCTGATTTTGATGAATTTTAAACTTGTGGAATTTATTTTGGGATGAGGGTAATATGCTTTTGATTGATTACATTTTATATTATATTTACCTCAAAATTGTTACAATGATTTTGAAACTCATACTGATTAAAAGTTTGATCATCATATCTGATCCAACTTTTTCTCATTAAATAAGTTAAGATGTGGTGAAATGTATATAGTTGCACTAGCATCTTTAAAGTTGATGCTTTTTTAGTTCTTCTTTTTTTAATTTTTTTTTTATTTATTTATTTTTAATTATGATTGTGGGAGACTTGGTTGTGTGAAAGAATCTTCTTACTAATGGAAGGAAGGGCTGTTTTGGTGATATTTTAAAGTAGATTCCCTACCTACAAAATAATTTTTTATGTTCAATTTTTAGAGCTTTTTTTGTTGTTTGGAGATGGAAGATAAGTTTTATTTTTTTCTTATTAAAAAAACTCAAGGTTTTGTAGGGTTTAAAATGAACTTCAACTTTTAGGGGTTTTTACATGCCAACTAAATATATATTTTATTTACTATGAAATATATGAGTTGTTTTGTCTTATATTATGTAAGAAAGAAAACTGATATTGTGGGGCCAGTGAGATATTTATTGAGTTTCATAAGATTATTTTACCAATATTTATGTTGAAGAAACTGTTTAAGTTAATCTTTTATTGGCATACATAAAAGTTTTATTTTTATAACTCAATTTATTGAACTCATAAATTTTTATGTTCGTTTTTTAAATTATTTTTTAGTCATTTTACCCTTTTATTTTTAATATTTTATAAATATTTTTTTCATAAAAAAATATAAAATATGTTTTTAAATCAATATAAAATTTTCATAAATTTATAGTTTTTAAATCTATATAAAAGTTTATAAGTTTATAGAATTTAAATGTAAGAAATATATGCCAAATTTTTTACATAAAATTGAATAAAAAGTCATTTTTTTTAAAAGAGTAAAATGACGATTTCTTCAAATTTTAATGTCACACTTACAAATGATGTTAAGAAGATATTAGAGTGATTTGGGGTGGTGGTTGTTTTTTGAAGCAGCAACAGTGAAGCTGAGGAAGCGGCTTCACAACTACTGTTAGAAAACTGTTACTGGAATAACAATGAAGTTGTTTGGATAATCTGATATGTTGTAACTGTTTCACAACTACCTTTATAGATGTAAATTAGCTGAATGAAAATAATTTTTTAAAATAATTGCAGTAGAATAACAAAAATATCTCAAACAATACAAAAAATATGTTAGGAGTTTAAAGTTTTCTAGTACATCAATTGTAAGTTATAATTTTATGCATAATATTACTATAATAAAAACTACAAAAAAGAACTAATAATGATAATGACCTTAACCTTCATGTCCAAAGGATTAATTTTTCGGGATAATTTTCTGTCCATAACAACTCTCCCGATTTATTCATTATATGGAGTGAACTCTTTCACCAGTCTTTCATAAAAACTTGCAATTTTCATGTGTTCTATTTTTGGGACAACTATAAAATATCCTTTCCTAGTGTCTTTCCTTCTTGATGCGGATTTTGAATAAGGCCTATCACAATGATAGTACAAAGCTCTAAAATTACCTGATGACCTTAAATTCATTTCTTGATATGAAAATATATTACATTTAACTAAAAAATTTAACTATATATCTAATATAATACTAACATAAAAAATATATGGTTTATTGATCCATCTGAAAATTACTTATTTTTAGTGTATATTTCATGATCATTTTATGTACATTTTTAATGATATTACACTTTAAAGGAAGATAATTTGCATGTTTTTATTTTCAAGTACAAGAAATGGACTGGACTTTTAGCGAAATTTGAGCAAAAATGGTGTCATTTGAAGTCAAATTGAGCAAGGAAGAAAATTTTGACCTAGCACATTTTCATATGTCTTTCTATGTTTAATCTCCTTTATATTTATCACCTATTTTTGAATGAAATTACACTTTAAAGCAAGGTTGTTTTCATGTTTACTTTGTAGGTATACCAATCTGGAGCGCAACGGAACTAAAACAGGGTGAAACGGAGCGAAACAGAGTGAAACGGTGGAGCTGCACGCAAAGTGGCGCTATAGCACCATTATAGCACCAGACATGCCTTTAGTCAGGCGCAATAGTGCCCCAATAGGTTTCTTGACAGTATTAGATCCATTTTGGGCCATTCTCGAACGTTTAGGAAGCTTCTAGACAACTTGCACGCCCCTTTTGGTGGTTAAATGAATATAGACACTTGGAGTGACTTTTAAATGAAGAGATGTGTCTCTCGGAGTGAAAGGGTGTGTCTCTTGGATGAAAAGATGTGTCTCTTGGAGAATGAAGAAGTTTTTGCTTCTCTTTAAATAAAGAGGCTTGGCGCCTCTCATTAGAAGTTATTAGAGGAGTCTAGAGAAGAAATTTGAAAGTATTTTAGGAGGAGTTTGGCATGAGTTTATGGAGATGTAGATTTCTCCATTTTCTAGAGAGATTGATGAGGGATTTTGAGAGATATGAGTAAGGAAGTATGAGCGGTGCATGGATTGGCAGAAGACTTTGTTGGAGAGATTTTTCTTCTTTCTCTCAGAGGGAAAAAACTAAGTATTGTGTTCTTCATTATCTTGTATTTTTTGTAAACACTTTCTAGTGAATTTTCTTTGATTTAAACGAAGTTTTCTATGGTGTTTTATTCACGCTTCGTAATTAGTTTTCTTTACTCTTTTCTTTTAATATGAAGCAGTGACATGTGTAGGAAAATTTGTTTTGTGATAGAATTATTTTTATTTTCATGTGATGAGTGATATCTCATTTGCTTCATTGACATAACTTAAGTAGCAATAAGTTATGTTAAAATTTATTGCATTTAAAACTAAGGCTCGGGAGAGCAGTGATCTTGCAACTTGAGTGCGTTCACATTGACCGGTTGGCTAATAAAATAATTTAGGTGGCAATGCAAATTTTGTGAAAATATAATTTCATGATCTATTTCTATTAGATGCTTCTAGGTGATAGATAGTTGCATAAAACTAATAGAATAGTAAGCATACCTATACACTCGAAAGAGAGTAAGTAGGCAGACATATGTTCGTTCCTTGTTAGCACATAATTTATTACTTAAATTATATTAATCATTTTACTGCTTATGTCATTATCTTCATTTTACTTTTTCTTCTGCAATGAAATAGATGCACATTCAGGAATTTAGATTTGCTTAGATATTCTCTTATTTTATCAATGTGATGGTATTTTCATTGGCTCTTAATTGACTTTGCAAATTGATCACTTATGAGGTTAAAATTAGTTGTGAAACATAATGACCAGGGAGGGTTATGATTTCACACAACTAGTGAGTACCACACTTCACTCTGGGCAGAGCCATTGCGATCACCCAAAGGGGTGCAAATAAATAGAGAGATAAGTTTTGATCGACATAAAATTGGTTAGTTCTAGAGTGACAGGTTATATTCTTATCAATTTGACTTAAGGTTTAGTACCCTGACGCTGGGATTCAACCATCATAGAGGCATAGGCTTAAGGGCATCTGAGGTGAGAGGCCAGATAGTTCTGATGTGGAATCGAGATGTTAAAGAATCGGCCTTAAGTTAACCAATGTTTTTATCTAGCACCGGGAGGGGGTAAAAAATAGTTATGCTCCTATTTGTCATTGACAACATTATATTATAAATATTTCATTCCTACACATTATTTAGGTCATTACACGAGAAGGGTAGTCTTTAACATTTCAAAATTCTTCAAACCAATTTATCCAAATAAGTTATCAATAGAGTTAAGGTTTTGATTCATGAATAGTTATTAGAAAAGCCACTTTAGTCGGCATTCAAACTAAGGTCTGATAGTAGTAGACTAGATTAGCCTAGGGGATCTCTTTCCTCGTTTTTCTGTGTGATCGATACTTGGGGTCTTCAAAGAAAACCTTATATTATTTGAAATGATGTGCATACTTACATAGAATCTCTAATGTGTGAAATATAAATCAAATTCTAAATTTAATAAAATATTATTTTGCACAATATCCGCTTAAATATAAATTGGGTCAAGTTTTTGGACATCTTTCGAAGCTAAAAAATCTATGTAATTGCGGGTCGGGTCATTCATAAGAAAAATAAACTTAGATATAAATATGAATATCTAAAGTTATAGCCTTAAAAATTAAACATCGAAACATGAATGAGAAAATAAACATCAACCGATCCTCAATAGATCTAAATCAGTAAACATCAATACGAAGAAACTACAAAATATTAATTAGATCGACTTGATGAATTTACTAAATATCTATAATGTCCTCTCAAATATATCATCTCCTGCACACCCTCCCCATCAGGTGTGTTGAAGTAATTCGTGTAAAAGTCATCCTCGAGCAAAGATTGACATGATCGATATTTCAATGCATTTGTAGGTATGCAAGTGGGATCTTCATTTAAGATCTTGAAATTAACACTGTCCCAACATGGATGTCTTCGTATAACATTATGCAAAGTTGTCATTACAATGACTATTTTTATCTACTTTTTCAAGGGATGAGTCGGCATATCTCGGAGTATGACCCACTTTTTCTATTCGTCGAATGCTCTCTTAATAACACTTTGTAATGATGAGTGTCTTTTGTTGAACTATTTTTTCCTCCCTTTAATCACTTGGTTGTTGAGCTCAAAGTCATGAGGATGATATATCGTATCGAGGAAGGGCTTTAAGAAACCTCGTTGTATGGGATATCCCAAATCGATGATGTAAAATTTTCCTAAATAATAATATTACTAGTACATATGTTCAATGGTAACACTTCATATATTTTCATGAATATACTAACAAATTGAAGACATTAAAAATTTGTATTCACAGTGTCGAGTGAAGAATTTGAAGATGTGACTATTATGAGCGCTCCCTTCCCATCCAACAATTAGGAAAATAAAACACATGCTGAAATCATAAATTACTAGTGTATTCTATGTTGTAGATACACAATGTTCTATATATACAATCTTGTCATTATTGTCAACACGTGCATTGACATGTGTGTCATGAATTTCTCTTATACAATCATATAAAAAAAATTATGAGAACATTTTTTTTCAAAATATTCATGCAAATTAAAAAGATAAATTTATATCTTAAAGAACGACATATATCTCGCATCGTTACGGATTTTCTTGGTGTATGAGCAAAAGTAGTATTTATGATTATGAAAATATTATTTGTCATTCTTAACCCCAAGATCGAAATATCTACTAATCATCTATGCTAAGTAATGGAATCACTCGAAAGCAGCATGAATGTACTCATTATGTGACATAATATATAAAGTGATAGCTAGTACTTCTTTGGGTGTAAATTGAGATGATCCATGCAACTCTTAATTACTTTGTAATTCAGTCAGCAAATAAAAAAAAAATCGAACATCTGAAACATACTAAGAATTTTAGCCAGATGACCGTGTATCATGTCACTAATCCACTTGTCATCCACAGATGATGATGACACATACACTGTCTAGCACAAATTTGTCTGATAGTACTTATTGATACGATATATTATAGTTGTCATAATTGTTGACCGTTCCACTATCTTTAAAATTTTCTCTTTATTTTATAAGTTCTTCTATATATTTTACGCATGTCAGAAAATATTGAAAATAATGAGTGATGCTATAGGTGAACAATTACTTGAATAAAACACTACAGCTTGTGCAAAACATACATACTGAAATGTCACGCCGACACATCACAGGATATTATTCAATATAAAAATTAAAATTATTACACACAAATGAGGAAAAGAAATGAAAAGAGAACACAAACTAATGGGACTAATTGTTTAAAAAGTATTGGAGGCAAGGAATCATCTGTTTAGATACGTCATCATGAAAGCCTCCAACTTGGTTTGATTCTCTAGAAGTTATACCAAATAACTATAAGGACATATCTTTGAATATCTCGGGAGTGGAGTCCAATAGCTTCACGACTTCCATCATAGTTGGGTATTTCTGAATAGCCATGCAAGCAGTTGATGCCAAGCTAGTGCAATTTGTGACCAGTTGTGAAATCTGCTCAGATAAATGTGGGGCGTTGACCTTTATTTTCTGTTTTCGCTTTTGTGTGGATGTCATCTTGGACTTCATTTTTGGCATTGAGCAGGACCTACACTTATTAAATCAAACTACAATAAATATGAGAAGATTAAGAATTCATCTAACATTTTCTATGTACTAAAACTTTTTGTCTCCACCTCTCTTATGATGCATCCATTGTTCTCTTAACTAGGTCTCAACATAATCCACTTACCCCTATCTTTAATTTCTTCCATAATTTCTAATCTTTTTTAAGTTGATCTCATTTATCTTCAACTGAGTATTATCATACAGTCTTCTTGTTCTTTCATGAAAGTTTTTAGTTATATTTTTCCAATATTTTGTATTGAAGAGTGTGGTTAGTCTATTGTCAATTTATATTTGTTTCAAGCATAAATCAAAGAATATGATCATGACTTGCCTCTCCCAAATGGTCGATTTACCACATTTCTTTTGTTTCCCCATCTGGTGTATCATCTAAATAAAAAATTTTGAAGAAAAAAAATAAGTTTCTTACAATAATAAAAATTGAAGCAAAATTTAAAAAGAAAACATATTAAATTAGAGCTTAGTGAGGTCAATTTATCAAAAGCTTGCTCTATCCAGGATCACCAACTTTATCATACAGCTTTAAGACCAGGTAGATATGTCGTTGAAAGTTCATGTACGATCTAAGTCTAGGCAGTATATGTGACTATCAGTGTTATGTGTTCTAAGACCAGGTAATATCTGTGGATAGTGATTTCATGTGTTGCAAGACCATATAGTATATGTAGTTATCAATGCAAAGAGTGCCTTAAGAATAGTCAATATCTATGGTTAGCATTGTGATGTTTGCTTTAAGGTCAAACCTTATTTATGGCTAATAGTGTGATTTCTGGTCTATGACCAGGCTATATCTGTGGTTAACAGTTTCATGTGTTGTAAAACCATGTAATATATCCAGTTAACAGTGCAATGAGTGTTTTAAAAATAGTTGATATATATGATTAACAATGTGATGTGTGCTTTAAGACCAGACATCACATATGATTATAGTGTGATTTGTGGTCTAAGAGTAGGTAGTATATGCAATTAATAGTGTTATGTGTATTAAGACTAAATAGTATATATGACTAACAATATAATGTGTTATGCATGACATTTGGGCGGTAGTTATGTAAATCTCAACTACTATTTTTTTTTATTTGACTTGACGATCAAAATATCTTTAATCAAGAAACAACTTAATTTTATTTTAAGAAAATGGCTCCATCAAATGATTCTAGAAACTTAAATACATTAATAAATTAACATTTTAAGAAAAATAAAAAGCTAAATAAGAAAGCAAAAATTAACTCTCAGAATAAGTATTAAATAACTAATTGAGAAGTGTTTCTAAACATTTCAAAAATTAATTTAATGACAATTAAATTTGATTTTAATCAATAATATATTATTTAAAATCAATATGTTATTTTATAATCATAAATATTCCTTAAAAATAAATATTTTGTAATCATTCAATCAACTCCTTCCTACTAATATATATATATACATAACCAAACAACTCAAAGTTAAAAGGGAACAATCCTAACAACTGAGCAAGAGGTCATAAAAATCAAATTGTCACAACACTTGGATAGCAGATCATAATTCAATAATGCCACAGAGTTTAATCCAAACCAAAACAGAGACTGCTATCCACAGCAATCATAAGCCAATTCAATAATGCCACAGAGTTTAATCCAACTCAAAACAGAGACTGCTATCCACAGCAATCATAAGCCATAGCATGAAGGCAATATATATATAAAAAGATTTACATACATACCACTCATTTCCTATGTATTTATAAATCTAACGCCAAAACTTAGAAGTTTTACATAACATATCACCTTACCAATGCATCAAAAAGTGTATTTTGCGTCTTAAAAATTAAAATGATGATGACTTTGATGTGATGAGAAAGATTTAGGCAGTATAAATGTAAAAAAAGCAAAATTTAGGTGATAAGAGATGTACATACATAGGAATTGGGCGGTATGCATGCAAATGTCATATATGTAAAGTACTTTTACTTAATTTCCTACAAATAATGCATCTTTTATTGCCTTCAACATAGAGAGAAATTCTGAGACTTCTTCATCAGATTTCATCTATAAGAATATGACAGAATTACTCAACAAAAATGTGGCGTAGTCTTACATTCCCATGCAAATAAACTCTAAATCACCATACTTATAGTGTTGGAGAAGATCAGAACCACATCAATGGAGATCCTTACCTCTCCAACAGCATCACCATCTCGCAGTGAGGTGTGTGCGGGAACAAATCAATGCCGATGGCCCTTACAGGTCGGAAGGCATCGGAGCTCGGCATCGACTTCACCCTGTACCTCGCCAGACCGGCATTGCTCATCTTCCTCCAGCCTCTGTTACCCTTTCCTTTTTCCTGTTTATCAGCAGTTGGTGTGCATAGTTCTATGGCGTTTGCAACCAGAGTTTCTGGGTTGCAGGAGATGTAGCTGATGGTGGGAACAACAATGAGTTTGGAAAACAAAACAAACAAACAAAAAAAGGGGGCATTTATATAGATACCACAACATTATTATACGTTTACATATCTAAAAATTATATTTTAGACCACTCGAATATTTAACATTAGATCAAAAATGTCGTCACTATTATTAACTTTTTAAAAGTGAAATATACACCTTTGCATGGATAGATTTATAACATCAAAGTATTATGGATGAAAATATCAAAATTTAGGTGTCAATGCAGGAAAATTGTGGTATTATGTAAATTTATCAAAAAAAAAAAAAGAAGAAGAGAAGAAGAAAGGGTGATTCAGTGAGGGTGATTCAGTGTGGTTGGATTTCATTCCGGAAGGCTAAGATTTATGGCCCGATTGGGACTGTTGTAGTTTTTTTTTTATATAAAAATGATTGTAAAGTTATGGTGAAGAGAACTTCTTAAGAAGCTACAATTATAAATATTTATTTTTTTTCAAAAAATCAAACAAAAATTTCCTCGCAGACAATGCACTTGAATAAAATAAGTTTAAAAAAATAACTTCTGACTACAAAAAATTCTAAGAAACAATAAAAAAATAGTTCCGCAAACAAAGCTGTGGTGACAATCTAAAACGTAAAGCAGGCAGAAAGCTATTACAAATAGATCTTTAATCTAAGCAAACCCAAACTAGTTTGAAAAACTTTAGCTAGAATAAAGCCGAGTACAGATTCTGAACCCGATAAAATAGAAGGAAAACAGAAAATATTATGAAAAAGGTTCACTTACACGACCCGGCGAATCCGTGGATGAGTCCTCAGAGCCTTAATCACCTATGAATTGTTTTGAAAAGAATCAAAAAAGCTATGAAAAGTTTTGATGATGATTTTGATTGTTGAGAAAAGTTGCAATATCAGATTATGTTATTGAAGAATATATGAACATCATAATGCCATTACTACAAGACAGGAAAGAAAGGATTTAGACTTCTTTCTTGGCATTAGCTGTGAAGCATGGGTTGGTGTACCTAGATGCCTTCTATAAAATTTAAACTGAAATAAAATTACTTACTAAGCAGCTCAAAAGCTCACAAATTCAGATAAAAATAAGTGGCGTTTACATACATTCCACCTAATTCCTATGTATTTACATATCTAACTAACACCTAAACTTTGCTTTTTTACATTTATACCACCCAAATCATTCATATCACATCAAAAACACCACCATTTTAAATTTTTAAAAATAAAATACACCTTTTCATGCATAGGTAAGGTAATATGTATGTAAAAAGTGAAGTTTAGGTGATAGATATGTGAATATATAAGAATTGAGGGGCATGCATGTAAATCTTCCAAAAAAGAATGTTTTAGAAAATAATTATTTCATTTTCATTCCCCCAAATGTGAAAATGAAATATACTTTCAATTTAAAAGTGAGCGATGAATTTAAAATTTATAGTGAGTTCAATTTGTGAAAATGAAATATACTTTTGATTTAAAAGTGAGCGTTGAATTTAAAATTCATATTGACTTCAATTTACATCCACACAAATATAAAATCTAATAAATTTATCATTTTTAGTACATGTTTTCAAATAGGGACATTTACATACATACCACCCAATTCTTATGTATTTATATACTTAACACCTAAATTTTACTTACAATTATTTCTACCACTATTTATTAATTTTTAAAAGTGAAATACACCATCATGTGCAAGTAAGATGGCATATATGTAAAAATTGAAGTTAAGTGTTAGATATGTAAATACGTAGAAGTTGACTGGTATGTATGTAATTCTTCCTTTCAAATATTTTACTCTTAGCTTCAAGCAGCCAAATGAAACCGAAGGAACGAAACAACGCTCATTGTCTTATAATCTATAATAACATAGAGCTCCAAAATTTTAAAATGTGAAAATAATATCCAATGCTTCATTAATATAACAGGATTTTAAGCTCATGCAGCGAAGTTACTCACAGTAGGATGAAGTCCAACTCGTGGAGGATCGACAATGGCGACAACTCTATTGAACTTATGCACAGCTGCATCGCTTACCGAACTCTCTACAGGTAACGAGTTTTCCAGATTGTGTGTAAACTTTGCATTATCATTACTCGTGTTACTACTACATCTTGCAGCGAGAGGAACGTCGCCGCCGCCTTCATTTTGCTTTGTTGCCACAACGGTCCTAAGATTATCTGCAGATGCATCAATCGCTTTGTCATGGTGCTGCGGTGCATCGAGGTATTCTTTTAATACAGACCCCATCACATCTTCAGCCTGCTAAGTCACAATTGAAAGAATATAAAACATTAAAGCAATATTTACATACATACCACTTAATTCTTAAGTATTTACATGTTTGACACCAAAACTTCAATTTTCGCATACATGCCACCTTACCTATGTATGAAAAAGTGTAATTCATTCTTTAAAAGTTAAAAAAGGCGGTATTTTTGAAGTGATATAAATGTAAGAAGTAAAAGGTTTAGGTGGTATAAATGTAAGAAGTAAAATCTAGGTGATAGGCATATAAATATATAGGAATTGGGTGGTATGTGTGTAAATGCCCCAACAATAAAAGCTCTAAATTCTAAAAAAAAATATTAGCAAACAGAGATGTACATGACAGTAAGCTATCTACTCAAGTATACAATCATTTTCACATCTTTTGATTGGGTTTGGTATCTCTGGAGTGGTTTGAGAGGTGGGTTGAACTGATGCTTTGCAACCAACAAAAAATTTCGGCAGTTTGTGCATAAAATAGGCGTTATATAAAATGGAGTACCCATAAGAAAGAGAGAGATTCAGAATTGATGAGAAACGCTGAATGTGTAATCTTTATTGACGAGGAAATGTAATTTACTGTTTTAATGGGAGATTTACACACATACCACTCAATTCCAATGTACTCACATATTTAACACATATACTTGATGTTTACATACATACCACCTTACCTATGCATGAAGAGGTGTATTTCACTTTATTTTAAATTAAAATGGTGGTCTGTTTGTGATATGAAGATTTGGGTGGTATAAATGTAAAAAACAAAAATTTAGGGCAAGGCCGATGATTATAGTTATTGCCAAAGTTCAATTTTAAGAAAAACACAATTTTCACTCTACCTTGTAAACCAACTTAAATTGCATGCTTTCCACCACATATTGTGCTGACCACCCATCCCACCCAAAAACCTTTTCAATCCCACCAATGGTTCTTCTTCCCTCAGCTTATTATGTCCAAACTTATATGATTTAACAAATTATAACAATAAATGTTCCTAACAATATACTGTTCTTCACTATATCATTCTTTGATATCATGCATCCATCTTAACATTTCATTTCATCATTGTCGACTAGAATCTTAATCCTTAACGCCCAAAGGTAGAACATAACATTGTGGGTCTAACTGCAAATTATTCCTAAACAATTAATTTTAACACCCAACTTCAAATCCAGAAGTTATATTTGGCATCACAAACCCTATCATCTTCAAATCCCCCTTGCTAATGGTAGGTGAAGGTAAGCTTTCTCCTAAAGCATTACGGATGAAAAGGTCGTCTCCCGAGCTTGAGATCGGGTTACCGGTGACGCGGGAGTTCTTTCCAGCACAATTTTACCGCGAACAAACATAAGAGGCAGGAGACGAGAGTCGAGCTGCCGAAACAGTCTCATTTTCCTTTCTTTTTCTCTTCTTTCCTATTATCCTCTGTTCCTTTTTAATCTTTCCAATATATGTGTGTATTAAGGTTTGGATTAATAGTTTTTTGTGTGTTTTGTACCAAGACAGTCGCCGGCGCTCTTTCTTCCCTTCGAGGGATGTATCTTGGTTTCCAAGTAGAGCTTCGTTGTAGCTTCTTGGTCTTCAAGTAGTGTTTATCTTTCCCCAACTCCTCCACACTCCTCCCGCTTTGCCGCCTAGAATTCCACATCGCTATAGACAGCCCTGACATCAGTCATGTTGTAGTTTCCCTGCAGCTCGTCGCCGTCCAGCCATCCTTCTCGTTGGCGCAGCCCCCAAATAGTCCTCCTTTGGCTGTCCCGCAGTTCCACGGCTTCACTGCCACCGCCGCCACCATTCCCGCTCTCTGTCGCTGCCACCGCCATTCCCATCCCTGTTGTCGCCAAGAAACAACCCTTCTGGGTTGTTTTCTGTTGTTCCGGCCATCCAACCAAGTGCACTTCTCATTCATAATTTCTGCCACGCCGCAAAGCCTCCTCCTTCTGCCTTCCCGCCATCCAGCCACCCCAAACAGCAAACTGCGCTCTTTGGACTGTTGTTCCTTATTGCTCGGCCATTCCAGCAACACATAATCATTGTCCCTCCTCTACCAACCCTACCTTGTCACCAACATCCCCCAAGAGTCGCCCTAACGCCAGTTTGTGTCGTGTGTGTTGCATTTTCCCTTTCAAGTGTGTTGGTTGTAATTGTTTATTTGCTTTTAAAAATATTATTTGTTTTCCTGTTGTGGTTTGGGTTAACTTCGATATCATTTGATTTCAGAGCTAACCTAACTCTAATCCTATCCTATGGTTTTATAACATCTGCTTTATCCCCTCCACCAAATTTTTTTTTTCATATTCCCAAACCTTAGCCACATTTTGACCTAACCCTATTTCTCTTTTGTTGATTTTCAACGTCAACAAACCCAAATCAAAGCTTTGAAACCGCCGCTTAGTCCACTGTACCCCCTTTCACCTCTCAACACTAAACCCTAGCCATGCCCCCAAGGAGATACATATTGAATCTATCCAAAAAGAGATACAGCAGAAGATCCGTCAACTTCAATGGAGGCTTGCGAACAATGAGGATGAAACTTGGGGAAGATTACCCTCGACTGGAATCAGGAGAGTCGAAAGGAAGTCAGAAACGAGGATCCAAATCACTCCAATCGGGAGAAATTTAGTGATGCAAAAAACCAGTCATGATGTTGTGGAATCCAGTATTAGAGGAGACTGAGAGAAGGTACAGTGCCAATTCCTATCAGCTTACCACTGACTAAAAATTCAAACCCTAGCTTCAGAAGTGGACAGACCAAATCACCGAGCGTCCACCCCATCTTACTAGGAGAGTTCAACCTCAAGATCTTCCAGCCAAAGTACACTCAGGAGAACACCCAAGACGACCCCCATCAGAGAAAAAACTGATTTTGAGTGGAAAACAGGTGGAAACAATATGCATCCCTAAATTAGTCACGGCCAGGAAGTATTGCAAGTGCCACAAATTTGGGCATTGAATCACATTACATACCTAGGAAGGTGATCTGTTCACAGAGCATGGTGTTTTGGAAAATTTGGGTAATGATATAGTAGATACTGAAGATAGTCACAACACAAAGAATCATTTTCCAGTTGAGGAGGAAAATAGGCACATTATTCCAGTTGAACCTATGGGAGAGACTCCAACCGACTTTATAGTGAGGGTCCAAGGCAATCTTGAGTTCGAAGAACTGACACCAGAGATATGGAAATCCCAAATAGAAGAAATTCAAACCAATTGAATATGTAAAATCATTCCTGAGTTACCCCTACTGAGAGAGGTCCAGCACGTTAAAAATTCAAACCAAATGAAGTCGAAGCTTGCCCAACCACGAGAGATTGACGGGAAGCTTTTTGCTCGCCCAACCACGAGAGAGAGGTCCAACACGTTAGAAATTCAAACCAAATGAAGTCGAAGCTCAACAACCACGAGAGATTGACGGGAAACTTTTTGCCGCACAGTTTTCTCGCGGTACTATAACCGCAATAATACCACGAGAAAACATATAACGGGAAACGAGAGTTGAGCCGTGTTGACCTCATTGTTAGTGAGGTCTTAATCTCCTCCCATAATTCATAATCTAGTCTTAGAAGTTCCTTGTTGACCATCCTAGCGGACTAGTAACGAAGCCCACCTCCCGTAGAACTTCAAACCACTTCTTGACTCATTTTTGTGAAGAACTCGCATGAGTGGTTCCAAGCACTCAACTTCTAGTTGCATGGGCTCAGGACCAACATGTAGAGGGCCCGAAAATGAGTTCCTATAGGATCAAACAGCCTTAGGTGAACCCTTTGTGACTCAATTACTCGTGAACGCCGCAATTCACGCACTCACTGCACCACACACGACTTTGACTTGAATCGACAAATTTTTTGCCCAACCGTCGGCGAACCTGTCTGGACGACCACGGATGACGAAACAAACTGTGTCACCGCGTCCGGAACGTTAATTTTAGCTGGGAAGGACACCCACATTGCTAGGGTTACGCACGGCACAAATGACATGGAAATCAATGTACGCTTTTTTTAACGGGACGCGGGCCTGGACTCAACTCATGTTCAACTCGGATTCGATTTAGACTAAATTCGAGCCTGAACAAGAGTTAAGTAATTTGAATTTTGAATTTCAAATTTCAAATGAAATATTTAATCCAGTTTTAATAAAATTTAATTAGGAGATGTGTCACGCCAAATAAACTTCTCTGTTAAAGGAAACAAATTAATTTCTCTGCCAATGTTGTCTCGTAACGGCTCTTTCTCACTCACGAGAGCCTCGGCTGGCTGTTTCAATTCGAACGAAATCCGCCGCTCCCGCTCGTCTCCTTCCTCGGCAACGAACTTCCTCGCTCGCTCCTGCTCATCTCCCGCACTTGCTCCCTTCTCGATCTCGATCCCTCGCTCTCTCTGCTCGATCCCGTCTCTCGCACCGAAGAAGCCGCAGACCCGTTTCCTTCTTCCTCTCGCATCTTCCCCATACCAAAGCCCTCTGCTGCTCTCGCTCGACCTTGCCTCGTCCCTGCGACGAAGAAACTCTCCCGCTCCTTCTTCTCTCGTCCAGAAGCCCTCGCTCACCTCACGCTCCAAAGCGTTCCTCTCTCGTCTAGAGGCCCTCGCTCGCCTGGCGCTCCAAAGCGAAGCTCCTGCTCAATCCTACTAGGCTCGATTCCGTTTGACAGGAAGCTCGCTCCCCTCCACGTCGAACAACCGCTTCGTCTCTTCCTCATCCGACAGAAGTCGTTCGGCTTGCCTCCTTGACCGCTCGATCCCGTCTTCCTGTTCACGCAGCAACAGCCCTGCACGACTCCATAGAAGCCAAAACTGCTGCTCCCGCTGCTTGATACAACCCTCACAACCCAGACTAGCTCCTCCTTCCTCCTCTTCTTCTCCAGCGGGCTTCGGCCAGGTATACCTCTTCCCCTTCTTCCTCTCACATCTTCCCCATACCAAAGCCCTCTGCTCCTCTCGCACGACCTTGCCTCCTCCCTGCGACGAAGAAACTCTCCCGCTCCTTCTCTC